GACACCGCCGCCCGGCACTGCGGGGAAGAAAGGTTTTGTCGGCGGAGAGCAGGGCCTGGGCCCGGCCTGTCTCTTCCAGGACCAGCATCCTCCTGAGCTCCCGAATGCCCACACTGAGCCTCACCTCCTATAGGGTCCACTCTCTTCAGGCCCCGCCCCACACTGAGCCTCATCCTGATAGGTCCACTCTCCTCGGGCCCCGCCCCACACTGAGCCTCACTCTCCTATAGGGTCCACTCTCTTCAGGCCCCACCCCACACCGAGCTTCACCTCCTGATAGGTCCACTCTCCTCGGGCCCCGCCCACAGCAGCCCTGCCCTCGTTGAAGCTCTTCCCTCCCGACGTCCTGGCCCCTCCTCCGTGCCAGCTTCCTAGGGTCCGAGCATCTCTGGGGGTCCCACCTCCCCAGACCCCGGCGCCGAGCTGGCTGCACTTTTCCCTCTGGCCCCAATTTGAAGGCCGCCTCCCCTCTCCAGCCCCCGGGGACGGGCCCACTCCTACTTCCGGTGACCCGCCGATCGCCGTGTTCGTGAGGCTCCTGGACACCACCTGTGGTCCGACCGCCGGAGGAGAAGAGGCGCATCAGGGACCCCGACGCTGAAACTCTGCTCCCCCCGGGCCACGCCCGCGTCCTCACCTCGTTGTAGGCGGAGAAATCCAGCACGGCCCGCACAGGGGCCGAGGAGGCGACCGCGGCGAAGAGGAGATGCGGGAACTGGGGGGGTGGGGGGGGTTGTCAGGCGGGAGGGTCTGGGACCCCCGATCTTCCGCCCTGTGCACGCTCGCCTCGCGTGGCCCTAGGCGAGCCCCTCTCCCTGTGCACCGGGCCCTGTGGAGACGGGTGTTCCTGTCCCCTGAGATGGGGACCCCGAGTCCACCCCACCCCCCGTGTCCGCCCAGAGGGGTCCCGGGACCTTCAGCCGCGCCCAAGCGGCCAGGGAGCCGGCATAGGAGCCTCCGAAGCAGACCCAGCGGCTGGAAGAGGAGACGTTGAGGAGGCGGGAGAGCTCGAGGCGCGCGGAGACCACGTCGGCCAGCCTGGGGCGAAGGGGAGGCGTCGGTCACCTCTGCAATCCCTGGGGCACCCCTCTATCTGGACGGGGCAGGGGTGTCTGGCCAGGAGCCAGGGCTCCTTCCTCAGGAAGTGTTTCTGAAGGCGTCACCCGCACATCCGTGTCCGGAAGTGGCCCCCGGGAGGCCCCTGGGGAGCCTCCGCCCTCCTACTTCCAAGTAGCGGGAGCGGAAAGCCTCGGGCAGGGCAGGCGGAAACCAGACAATAGAGAAGGGGGTTCCTCGGGCAGAGGGTGTCCTGGCTGGTGGGTGAGAGCAGGGGCAGGGGGGCAGAAGCGATGCTGGGCCGTCTGACCTCCTCTTGTCTGTTCTAAGTGCTTTCTTCCCGCCCCAACCTTCCTGAACCAGTTTGCAGTCAGGGCCACCCCACTGCAGTGAGAAACCGGGTAAGTTTGTGAAAAGATTGGAAGATAGGGAGTAGCACAGAGGGACAGACAGACAGGGACAAGGGTAAGACAGAGAAAGGAGAGGATTCCAGACAAGTGTGTGGAGAATAGAGCAAGGGTTGCAGGAGGAGTAGGGTGCCCTAAAGGAGGGGGGAGGGGATATGCAACATCTGGGGGGAGCCCAGGGGAAGGGCTCAGAGGCTCAAGACAGCTGAGCCTGGATGTGTGGGGAGCAGCAAGGATGCCGTGCAGTGGAGCCCTCTGAGTGTGAGGAAGTGGAGGTCAGAGAGGGACGGGCCAGAGCCAGTCAAACCTCGGGGCCACTGTGAAGACGGACTTTACTGTGATGAGATGACAGAGGTGAGGGCTCTGAGGCAGCGAGAGTGGTGGTTGGGATTGCGCCCTACCAATCACTCTGGCTTCATCTGGAGCATGGACTGAAGGCCAGTGAGGAGACTGACCTTCAGACAGGAGGCCAGGTCATGTGGACCAGTCATCACAGTGAGACAGGATGAGAGAGACAAGGTCTGAGAAAGAAAGAGATGGGGAGGGACCGAGACCCAGAGATGGAAAAGGAGCAAGACGCTGAAAGACAGAAAAACAACAACCGCCATGAACCAAAGACTCAAGGTCAACTTCAGGCAGGGGAGCCATCTCTAGTCCCATGTCCCCAAACCTTTCCCCTCCCAACGTACGCATGGCGGCTGGACAAGAAGCGGAGCTGGGTCGTGTTCAGGCCCCCAGCAGGTATGCTCAGGCCATAAAACCTGTGCTCCAGGCCTATCACCAGGGCCCCCAAGGCTGGGGCCAGGGCTGCAGGGTGCCCTGTGAAGAGGGTGGAAGGGGAGTGTGAGGCGGGTGAAGCCCTCGCAGCCCTCCCCCGGCTCCCCAGCTGCGTCTCTCCCACCCTTGCTTCTCACCTCTCATCACTGAGCCCGGCCCGAGGCTGCCCTCGCCCCCCAGATGCAGGAAGACGGGTCCATCCCGGCTGGCCCAGTGCTGGTCGCTTATCCAGTACCGCTGGGAGTGGATGAGGAAGAAACGGGATTGTGAGCATCTGCCCTCTCTTCTCCATTCACTGTTCCTCCCGGTCTTTCAGTGGTTCTCAACCTTCCTGATGCCGCGACCCCTTAATACAGTTCCTCATGGTGTGGTGACCCCCAACCATAAAATTATTTTCGTTGCTACTTCATAACTGTAATGTTGCTACTGTTATGAATCGTCATGTAAATATCTGATATGCAGGATGTATTTTCATTGTTACAAATTGAACATAATTAAAGCATAGTGATTAATCACAAAAACAATATGTAATTATATATGTGTTTTCCGATGGTCTTAGGCGACCCTGTGAGAGTCGTTCGACCCTCAGGTTGAAAACTGCTGCCCTAGGGGGTCGTTCTTCCTACACCTGGTAGTGTCTGAACCAGGCTTGTTTATGGGTTCATTTCCCTCCCGTTGTCCTCTCACTTAGAGTGTAAGGCCTACAAAAGCAGATATTTTGGTCAACGTTTTCCCTCTTATATCCCAGGGTCAAGTGTAGTGGCGAGCACATGGGAGGCACCTGCTATGTTGATAATTGTAGAATAAGTAACACATGCAGGTGGATCGGGGCGTAGCCCGGAGGTGAGAGGACCTGGGAGACTGTGTGCAGAGCAGGTGTGGAAAGGGTGAGGGTGTTCATTCATTCAGGAGATATCTCAGGGTGTGAGCAGGGCGGGTTCCAAAGTCAGTCCAAGTCTGCACACATCCAGACTGGCGGTGGTTTTAGGGTTCATTCTGAAGGACATGGAGGGGGGGCTGGGAGAGAGAGAGAGAGAGAGAGAGAGAGGCCGAGGGACGGAGGAGAGGGAAGGAGAGGGCAGGGCAGACAGTGGGCTCCCGCTCCGACCTCACCTGAAGGAAGGACCTCCTGTCAGACGCATTGAAGGGGTCCAGGGGCTGCTCCAGCCACCCCTCTCTGGGGCGGGCCGCCACCCCCGGACCCAGACTCAGGCCCAGGACAGAGCTCTCCTGAAAACGCCGGATGTGCTCGCCGAGGCGCCTAAGGAGAGAGGCTGCGGGGCCCAGAGGGGACAGCGTTCAGCCGAGTCCCCTTCGGAGCCCCCGCCTGAACCCCGGGCTCCTCCTACCTGGAGCCGAGGACCCCCCGAGGGAAGCCAGGAGCAGAGCGCCCAGCCACAGCGCAGGGCCCCGCGCCATGCTGCCCGGTCCTCGGCGGAGCCGCCAGGCCTGTCCACCCTGCCCCCGGCTGGCCTGGACGTTTATAGCCGCAGGAGCTCGGGTTTCTTCGCAGACGCCT